GAGAGGAAGCTGAACAGGGTGTTAGGAAGCATGTGGGGTGTGGCTCTGTTATCTGTGGCAGGTGTTAACAAGGTAAATGAAATATGAAGACAAATGTATCTTAAGGAGGATTCAAAAGGACTCATTAGCAATGAAAATATCCACAAGTCATGGGAGAAAGCCAATGGCACGGAATTTGAATGGTTATGTGAATAATGAGTTCTACTTGAAGGGATAAGAGTCAGAAAGCTTTCTTTTGTATCTGACACAGCGCAAGTTTAGGGCTGAGAACATAAATTATATTCAGTATACTTCCACTGGTTGATATGCATGGAATTTTCTATTTCATATACTCTGTTTTGCCACCTCTTCTCACCTGGAGACAACCATTTACAGTCTCAGGATGGTTCTTCTAAAAACTGAAGAGTTCCACTTCCCCCTAAATCCTGCCCCCCCCCCAAGTTGATTCTCATGCTCTTTGATCACAACTGTAAAGAACAGACTTTGGAAGGATGGATGAAATTAGAAGGTGTGTTCACTGGTAGGACCATAAGAAAGACATGCATATAAGCACAGGCCCACCTGATAGAATCTTAAAGAATTGTGGAAAATGAGAAAGTCTGAGAAATAAAGGAAAATGAACATAAAGTTATATCCAACTTTATTTTGCTTTAGTTTAAATCCATGGAGGATACTTCAAGGGTATTCATTACAAATGTTGTAATGATAAATCCTTGAGGACAATTGGTAGATGTTGAGTTGAAAGTCAAGTATAAGAACAGCATGAGGGTGCCTGTGGTAGTAACAAGAGGTTACAATGGAATTTACTTGTACTTCTCAAAACTGTAAACTATAGGATGCTAAATACTGAAAACACTCAAATGATTGATTATAATGAGATTTACACTGACAACTGGAATAACAACAGATAACAGTGACTGGCCCCCCTCATAGAGCACATCATTTGACTTTATTATATATGCATCATTGTCTACCTTGCTTCCAAAGCTCTCTTCTTTTCATTTTGTTTAAAGAAAATGCAAATTCTGGTACTAACATTCTTTGTTTTGATAGTTTGTTTTTAAATTTTTATATATGGAAGCATTGTGATTTGAAATCCTGCTCTCTATATTTGAAATTCTGCTCCCTATATTTATTCTGTGCTCAGAGAAGTAGAAGAACATTTGAGTAGTTGTCTTTTTGAATGAATACCTCTCCAGATTGCATTCATCTCTGTCCCACTCTCTATGAGCCATCTTTCTGGCTCATGAGATATTTTTTATTGATTTCTTTTGAGTCCTTCTCAAGTTACCCACATTTCTGGATCTGCCTTTATGTATCGTAGTACCTAAATACCATGTGTTAATGTTTAGGACAAGGACTTTTGTCAGCTCCCTGGGAAACTGCTACCATTTCTCTTATAGCTTGGGAAAAGAAGTGACCTTTTGGGGTTCTTATAGTCTCTGAGTTCAAGGGTATTATTTTATTATTATTTATTAGAAAAACAAAAAGGATATGTTTCAAGATTTGATTATAAAAATGAAGTCAAGAAAATAACAAAGGAAGTTGCTTTTTTAACAGAGAACAACACAAATTTGGGGGGTTAGATTTCTTTAAAATTTTTAAGACAATTTTATATTGGTATGTGATAATTACATAGAATAGTGGATTTTATTGTGGCACATTTGTACATGCACATAATTTAATTTGATCAATTCCAATCCCCAGTACCTCCCATGGACGTCCTCCTGCTAATCCTACTGGTCTCCCTTCTACTTTCATAAGAATCCTTTTTTCTCCCGAGCTTCCACATATGAGTCTGGCTTATTCAACTTAACGTGATACTCTGCTGTTCTATTCATTTTCTTGCAAATGACACAATTTCATTCTTTATAGCTGAGTAAAATCCATTTTTTATATATAGTACATTTCCTTTATCCACTTATCTGTTGATGGACACCCAGGCTACTTCCATGATTTGGTGGTTGGGAATTATGCTGCTATATAAGTGTGCATATATAATATGATGACCTTAATTCTTGTGGAAGAACCCAGATTTCTTATGTGGTAGTGTATGACATTAGGGCAATTACTCTCCTTAAATCCCTATTTTCACATCTCTAAAATGGGACTATAATACTCTATGTGGGATTATGGGGAAAATAAGTAATTACACAAAGAGGCTTATACATAGTTATTTAATATTCAGTGAGTTCAGATTATTTTTAAAAAAGAGGTCCCAAATACAGAGTTTAGACTTGTTTATCTACCATACCACATTTCTATCTCTCTAATATATGGGGATTGGAAGGAAAATGGGAAGCATCACTTACACAGATGAGAGGACAATGAGTTGGCTCTATGAAGAAATAGATGGCAAGTAATAAAAGAAAGAAAACCCTGCCAAGAACATCACTAGAAGAAAATTTAAGTGGAAAAAGCATTATAGGCATCTTGGTATCATAACTGCTTTAATTCATTTTAATATATGAATAACTATTTTAGATGCTATTCAATAAATGACATAATCAAAAAGAAAAATTTTCTTTTTGTTTACTTTTTGAAAGCCAGCTTTTAAAGACTTTGTGTTAGGTAAACAGTAAAAAAAAATCACTTACCAAGGATTAATATAAAATGCCAAAAGATAATCAGTCCAAAGACATGAAGGTAGCAGGGTTAAGAAAGCAAATATACTCCTACGCCTGTGAGCATTAATAGATAACAGATGTAAAGATGAAAAAGTGGCAAGAGTTAGTAATATAAACTGTGAACAGATATCAGTAAATTACCTACTGGGATCAATTAATATGACAAGCACCTTAATTACAATTAAATATTATTCCATTCTGTGAAATTTTAAAAAGTAAGGGTTTAAGTGCTACAATATTGACAAAATCAGTTTTTATTCACACAAGACCTTATTATAATCAGATAGATTTCCTTGAACTTACTTTGTGTCAATTAGTCTGCTATTAGGTGATTACATTTTGCATTCAGTTAAATGAGACTCTTAAATGGCTCATTAGTTATCGGATGTCTTATTCTTAGATATTAACTTTCCAATGCTGAAACCTATTTTAAGAAACTGTTATAACCTCATTTGATAACGAAATAGCAACTTCTGTGTGGAGGTATAAATGGACATGTTACTTATAATGATTCTGATGTAGACTAAGCTTTTGGGATACATTCTAAACTGCATGATTTTATGTGACTTTCTATATTTTGAGTTTCTACAAAATTTCTAAAAAATATTTCTTAAAGCAGAAGAATGTTATGATACTCAGTTATCACTCATTCAATATCAACAGTGCATCAATAGCAGAGTCTAAAAATCTCATTGATACTCAATAGAGTGGGAACAAAATTATTTAATTTACTTTAATTCTATTTCAGACTCTTGATTTAAAATGCCTGGTTTGAGTCCAATTTCAGATATTCAAGCCACTTGTAAAATGGAACATCCATTCATGTAGATTTAAAAATATCCTGGGGCTGCAGCTCTAGTTATTCTCAGAATGGTGGGGAGATGCTGTCATCCTGTCACTTCGGTTACAAATCCCCACTGAGATATCCATTCTCAGTCAGCCAGAAAATGCTGCTGCCGGCAAAACTCTCCTTGCCAAGAGCAGTAGGAGAATTTACTTGATTTTATAGAAAAGTCCTGATGTGAATTCTCTTTTCCCTTGGTTCTCACCAAACTGGTCTCTCATAAGTTTTACAAATTGTGAATGGCTAAGAAGTTAGTTAATACCTAGCTCTCCTGAGTCACATGTGCAATTGGGTCATTTCCTAGATGGTCATATCACCAGTCTTGGGATGAGTCTTTCTATATCTTGGGATGAGTCCTGTTTACGGGCCAGGCAAGAAACAGGCATCAATCTCTTAATCTTGGGATGAGTGCTGATAAATTTGAACAAACCTACTAAATGTTTCCTAAATTTCACCATCTAGGGATTATGAAATTTTCTTTCTTTATGGTTGGACTAATCATATTTTAATAGCAAAATTCTCTTCACGTTAAAATTTTAAAATGGCAGGCCAGGTGTGGTGGTGCACACTTGGAATCCCAGTGGCTAGGGAGGCTGAGATAAAAAGTTCCCAAGTTCAAAGCCAGCCTCCACAATTGAACAAGGCCCTAAACAACTTAGCAAGACTCTGGGGTCGTGGTTGAGTGCCCCTGGGTTTAATGCCCAGTAACCACATCCCCCTCCAAAAAAAAAAAAAAAAAAAAAAAAAAAAAAGCCAGCACAATGTATTGTCTTATTGAAAACGATCCTATTTTGGGGGCTGGGATTGTAGCTCAGTGGTAGAGCACATGCCTAGCATGTGTGAGGTTTGATTCTCAGCACCATGTATAAATAAATAAATGTCCATCAACAATTAAAAAAAAAGAAAGAATCCTGTTTTAACCAGATTTACAACTAGAGTGGGAATCATCTATACTCAAGGAAGTAGAATTTATATTCTAAAAAAAGTTCTGCCTCTCTTATTGATTCTGTAGGGTAAAATGTCTAGTCTTTCAATCTATTTCTTGTACCATTTTGGGGTTAGAAAATGGGGGGGCGGCAGGGGGTAAATCACTTACCAAAGATTAATAGGAAATGTATGAACTTAAATATACTTTGTTTCTGTTGCAAGCAATCATGAAAACTAGGTCATATAAGGAAAGTGGATTCATGTTCAATGTTTACTTAATTAGTGATTCTATGGGTGTAGTTGAACTAGATAGGTCTGTTAATTCTCATTGTTAGGTATAATATCATTTTACTTAATCTCTTGAAAATGCTTTTCTAATTCCCCAACAACCTCCTCCCCATAGGACCTTAATACTCAAGTATAAAGAAAAATGAGGCTGTGTATTCTTGTGGGACATCTCTGGCTTTGATAATTATTAACCTGCAAGTATGAGAGTTGAGAGCCCTGGGCTGTACATTTCTACTTAATTTTTTTAACAAAAGGGTGGCTTATGTCCCCAGGCATTGAGATGCTGCTCTGTCTAATCCTGCTTCAGTGAAGTCTCCCCTCAGGCCTTTAGCTACCACTTGTTCAGTGTGGCTCCTACATTTGCCTCCTTCCTCAGCATGATTGTGGGCTCCTTGCATGAATGCATTAGTTCTTTGTTCAATATAGTAATACAGAATAGATTAGGGCATTTTCTCTACTTCAGTATTAAGTTTGTAGAAACCAATATATCCTGTGGAAATCTAGCCATTGAAAGTCTACTGTTACTGAAATCATGAAATAACCATCAGACAAAACTACTTATCCCTAAAGATGGTAAAATCAAGTTTAGAGCCCATACAACATAGATAAGCTATCTACAGGCTTGTTCCAAAATACTACTTACCAATTGTAGGGAAGTTTCCCATCCCTCTCCAAGGATGCAAAGTTGACAAATGTTCCTGCTCCACATTCCCTGTTTGAAAGGAACACAAATCAACGTAACTGCTCGAGAGAGCACTCTTTACCTGACATAAAAATAAAGAGAGCCTTTTACAGGTTTATCATGACAGCATTAAATTTTTTTTAAGCTGATGTAAGTTCTACGTGTTCCTTTGTTTCATACAATGCAAAAAAGAAAAACAAAACAAAATAAAACAGTCTCTTGTAAGACTCCTAATCAACTTATTTTGAGTCTGAAAGAATTCAGCTCATAATCTTTGTCAAAAGGCATTCATGATCCTAAAATAAGTCTTTGCACTATTTGGAAATAATATTTTTTCAAAAAACCTTCATTAGTAAGGTATACAAACTTTCCTAGATAAACTGAAAGTCCCTTTGTAGTACTTTTCGAGTTAAGTTTTGTTTCATAGCACTCTGATTTCCTCCTTATAGGGATAGTGGACCAAGTTGAATTGCTTACTTCAATTTTTTTTCTCTTATATTGTGGTATCCTTATTATTTATCCCTGGAGATAAGGGTGATACGTATTGAAATAGGTTGGCTTCTGACATGACTCTAATCCAGAATGGTTTCAATGAATCTGTTAGTAAAAAAGACTATTTAGGTTTTTTTTTTTTAACTTTCTCAGAAAAGGAAAAGATCTGGATGCTGTGGCACATGCCTGTAATACTAGCAGCTTGGGAGGAGGAAAGCCAGCCTCAGTAACTTAGAGAAGGCCTAAGCATCTTAGCAAGATGCTGTCTCTAAATAAAATATTTAAAAAGGGATGGGGATGTAGCTTAGTGGTTAATTGCCCCTGGGTTCAATTTCCTGTACTAAACAAACTAAACAACAACAACAACAAAATTGGGCAAAAAGATAAACATGTTCTCATGCCTTCTCTGCCTTTTGACTAATATGCATCGAGAACATAGCTCACTGGGCTCATGCCTCTCATTTTTTCTATACGTGAAATTGATGGACCAACTTGATATTATTTATCCAGCATTGAAATTAATTACTTCAGTTATCTGACTGCTCTTATTAGGATATTCTAAGAATATTTTTTTTCTTTGAAAAACATACTAATATTATTGTATCTCATTATGTGATAAAATTACATACTACCAATGCATTTTCCCATTTTGATTTCCTATATATGGATCTCTTACTTTCAAATTCACTCAACCAACTGAGCTATATCCCCAGCCCCTCAAATTCAGAAGTTCTTAATATGGGGTCCAAAGATAGAATTTAGAGCTCTAGAAACTTAAGTAGAAAAAGATAAATCTTCATTTTTACAAACTGTAACTGAAGTTTAAAAGTTTCTTGTATTAAAGTAGACAACAAACCACCACATCAGTAGTTGTGATTTGCTAACAATAGAAATTACAGATACTTTTATATAACAGACTTGCTGCATATATCTTGAACTGTTTATTAATCATCCAAATAAAATGATGAGTTAGATAGTAACTGTTTAATGTATTAATAAAAAGCAAAATATACTTGTTTTTAAAATATATGAGCATCATGTTTCAATATGATTATATAATTCTATGTGTTTTATTTTATGCTCTTAGAAAGCATTATTCTCTAAAGAGATCCATAAGTCTCACTAGACTGCCAAAGATCATGGCACAAAATATCTTGGTTTTAATGACCAGCTGAATGAATTAGATCTGTCCTTGCTAAATATCTTCTGTATGCATCACAAAAACTCTGTAGTATGCCCTCATAAATACCATCATTTTCATTACTACATCTGTCACCACCCCTCGGCTGTCAGGATTATGCACCAACACTTTCTGCATACTTCCCATGCTATGTTATTACTGCATTATTGCTCCTGATTATCCACTAATGAAGGGGTTGTTATCACCTCTTTTTGGTATAGGTTCTTTCTTGCCTTCCAGGCCACCACACTCTTAGTTTTCCTTCTACTCCACTGGCTGCCTCTTGCCAATCTCTTGCTGTCATCTTCTTTTCTTCCTGGAAGTCTTCATATTGTAAACCTCCAGTGCTCCACCCAGGGCCCTCTTTTACTTACATTTACTCTCTGACTTTGGCCTAGTCTATAGCTTTAACACCATTTATTTGCTAACAACTCTCAAATTTATATCTCCAAAATCAAGACTCTTTCCTGAACACCATATATTCCTGGGCAGCTGTCTACACCAAACCTGTACTTGCAGTTCATCTCCAATGTAGTATTGCCAAAGCTGAATCTTGATGTTTCCTCTATTCTGAAGCCTCTTACCTGGAGTCTCTCTTAATCGATTGCAACTTCATCCTTCCAGGGCCAAAACCCGTTGTCATTCCCGACTCCTTTATACATTCCCATTCCACACTCAATTTCTTATCAAATCCTATCACCCCTATTTTCAAGATATATTCAGAATCTAGTCTTTTCTTCCTCCCGTTTGTTGTTACTACTGTGGACTGAACTACTACCATGTCTTGTCTGGATTACTGTCAGGACTCCCCCTGCTGATACACCTGTGTTTTTGATTGTCTCTGTACAGCCTGTTTTCTAAAAATGAAAACATTAACACAAACCAGATATTTTTAATCTTCTCCAAACCTTGCTATGGCTGCCCATTTTACTCAGTGTAAAAGGCATTTTACTCAATGGATTATGAAACACTGTAGATCTGACATCACCTGTTATTTTTCCCTTCCCTTCCTCTTCCTTAGTCATACTGGCCGCTTCTCTGCCAGTCATGGCAGAATATAAATATGCTAGTCATGCTCTGGCCCCAGGATCTTGGCAGTGCATGTGCTGCTTTTGCTACTGGGCACACTCTTCCTAGAGATAACACAAGGCTAACTCCATGCTTTTCAAGTATTAGCTTAAAAATGTCCCTGTTTGAGTGAAACCTACCCACCAAGAGAATTGTCTCCTGATTCTGGTACTACTAATCTCCCTTACTCTGCTCTATTATTTTCTCTTAACTCCTGCTAACACACTATGCAATTTTGTGCCTTACAGCTCTATTTTCTGTTCTCCATCCCCCTGATTAGAATACAAACTCCACAAAGGTATGGATTACTTTTGTCATTGTCCATTTCAAGAACCTACAGGAGTCTGAAACAGTAGGTATCAATTCATATTTGTTGAGTGAATAAAGTTTCAGTGGCCTGCACAAGTTCACACGGTTCTTAAATCAGGACTGGACCTTAAAAAGTGTAAGTTCAGAGCTCCACACTCCAGCCACAGTACAAAACCAACTCTTTCCTTATTGTATTAAGATTTATTCAAATTCCAGTCTTCATGCAGTTGATTTTCATATTCAGAAATGGCCATTGTTTTCCACTTTCATGGCATCCCATGTTTATCTGCTTTATTGTTTAGGTCAGCCATGCCTTTAAATATGTCTTTAAATTTCCTCCTTTTCCTCTTTCTTCTTTTTCCCAGGGTTTGAACCCAGGGGCACTTAACCACTGAGCCACATCCCCAGCCCTTTTTAAAATTTTTAATTTTGATACAGGGTCTTGCTAAATTGCTTAGGGCCTTGTTAAGTTGCTGAGGCTGTCCTCGAACTTACAATCTCCCTGCCTTAGCTGTCTGAGCTGCTGGAATTAGAGGCAAGTGCCATTATGCCCAGACTCCTATTCTTCTTGTGGATTCCATTTAATCGACTTCTTTCATTAATCATACCAACTAGGTGTGGATCATTCTTTTACTCCAAATATGTCTGAAGGTACCCAAATGTAACAGATCCCTACTTATGAGCTTCTTAAAATGTCAGGATTGAGAGCAAGAAGGTTTGTTATTTGTAAACAGCAATCCACTGCTTTACCATTCCAATGGCAACATTTTCTAAAATATTAGCTTACTTAGAAAACACACAAAAGAGAAATAGACAACACACAAAAGAGAAATAGATACTACATCTGAAATAAAATTGTTACACAGTTTAGGTCTGCAAAAGTTGTACATATATAAGTAAAAATATACCTCAAAGGTTGGATAAAATATTAACAAAACTTAACTTACCTAGCCATCTGCAGATGCTTTTTCCTAAGAATGATGAGGGTAACAAGAAGCAGTCCAATGAGAAGTGTGCTCAGGATGGCCAGCACGGAGATCACTACCACATTAGGATTCATCTCTGTAACTAAAGAGAAGCCAGGCATTGCAGTTATAGGCTCCATGATTTGGAAACTGACGGGACCATTCACAGCTTTTCATCTAATCTTATGAGCAATGAACTTATGCTGATTATAATAGCAAAACATGAAACAACTTAAGCTAACAATGATCTTGCCCTCAACTATGACTTAGCAGACTGACAAATGGTGTTCAGGTGGCTGGAAGAATTGAGTCTATTTCAAAAGCCTCCAACATTCAGGATGTTCTTTCTTATAAGGAGAACTATAAAATGGGAAGAATGCCATGGTTCAAATTCATTTGAAAACTACAAATCTAAAAGTCATTATCATGTATTATCATTGTTTAACATTTTCACAAGCTCCGAAGGTGGCAGGTTCTTATTTAATGCCCATGACTTTAAAGTCAGAAAGTGCAACTGAATACTTTGCTCACAACTAATAACGTATATGGAAAAAGACACAAGTGAGCTACCATCTGCTGCAGCACTTAACACGTTACTAGAGGCAGGCATTCTGATGATCTGTAGCCATATGCTCAGAGGTTTTCCATCTGCACAGCCCAAGAGATTAAACCTATTAATAAGTTAGAGGGTCCTTAAGAACAGGGGTTGTGCCCTTTTCATATACTTTATATAATGACGGGTCTATCTACTGTGGCACTTACACATTGGCTAGTTCTTTATATTGTATGAATGAGCAGGATATCAAAGGCAGGTAAATTTGTTGAATGGCTTTATAAAGCTCTTCAAAGTGGGCCAGAAGAGATTTGAACCATCCTTTGCATAGATCATAAAATCAAGGAGCTGATCCCTAAGGCTCTGATATTTTCGACTTCCCCTTTGGACCAGCTGGGCTCCAGTTCATGGGTGGGGTGCTTGAGCAGAAAGAACAATAATCTCATGGTGCAAGAGGTTATTCAGGTGTCCTTGAGTGCTAACTGCTATTTGGGGAAGGCATACTTTCTACCCTCTGGGTGTCATTTTTCTCACCTTTAGATAAGCTTAATAAAATCACCCGTTGCACTAGGTTTATGTGGAGATGTCAAGGAATAAGAGAAATTAAAGTATACCTAGAAAGATGTAATAGGATGTAGAAAGGAGACACATTAAACTATTTTTTTCAGGTCAATTTTGTCCTGTCTAATGAAAAACCAAGAATTAAAAATAGAAAGCAAAAAAAAATAAATAAAAATAAAAAAGCTTTATCCATTCATCTTTTGAAGGGCATCTAGGTTGATTCCACAGTTATAGCTTGTGTGAATGAGCTGCTACAAACATTGATGTGGTTCCGGTACTATACCTAATTAGAATAAATATATAAATTTTTTTTTTAAAAAAACTTATTGCATGAAGATAAACTCCTTTTTATAATAAAATACTATTTTAGAAAAAAAACCCGCATTCAAGTCACCACTGAATATAGCAGCTAAATAGAGGACTAATATTATAGAAATGAGAGTGAACCCTGTGAAGGGATAATGTGAAGCAACAGTGGTTTTACTTCAGGAGACTTCATAGAGGTTCTCAAATTGCAGAATAAGAATAACCAACCAGAGAGCAACCATGTATAGTACAACTCAGAAAAGACTAAGAAAACAAACAGGGCCCCAGATCCTTCATTAATTTCTAACTGGCCCATTTACACTTTGTTTCTAGATTAGACAATTTCTTGCTTTGAGTTTTCTGTTGTGACAATTGATGGCCAAGGCTGAGACAGATGAAGCTGAGTTGATGGGGGTCCTGAGCCACGACTGCACAAGAGGATGAAGGTGGTGGCAGCAGCCAGCATTCAGACAGCATATGCTGGGGCTTTCTGTGTTTTATTTTTATGCTTCAAAATAACCTAAAAATGCATAGATTATTTTTCTAATTTCACAGATAAGTGGCAAAGGCACAGAGACAGTAAATCTATTTTCTTAAATCAGGTATTTTAGATAGTACTCTGAGATTGAGATTAAGGCCTTCCTGACCCCACAACTTGGATTCCCCCCCCCCAAGGGAACATTGCTTCCATTAAAAGGACAGATGATACATATTTCAAAAGAAAAAGTAAGGAACATGTGGAAAGGAATAACTCCTAAAGACCAGATTCACTAATGTATGAAACTACCCATGGTCGAGACGGCTATAAAGGTGGGGACACTGGGACTGTCATGGCTGAAGCTGGTGACACTGCAGTTGTAGGCGGTGGCAGGGAGGAGGCTGGAGATGGTCACGACATGGGACGAAACAGCAACGGGCTCCTGGAGATGCAGAAAATAAAAAAAAAAAAGCTCTATCAACTCTTCATCTATTTTGTCTTTAAAATTATTTTTCATAGTTGAGAAGGTAATCTGTGGACATTGTAAAAATGTTTAAAGACACCCTTCTTTCTCCGTTCTCCTTCTACCCACTTCTCTTCCATGGGAGTAGCCATTGCTGCCAGGTATTTTTTCTTCTAATATTCATTTTATGGATGTATAAACATAGAAGACACAGTTAATCATAAATGATGTCACAGTTTCTACATTATTTCACCTATTTTTTTCTCTAGTTATCAGCATATTTTGGCACTCTTTCCACAACAATACAGATTAAACTGCTTTATTCTTTTGAAGGGATGCATAAAAGCACATTGCATGGTCATATTTTATTTTGCCAACGCCCTATTAGTGATGAAAGTTTAAGTGATCTTTGACTTTTTGTGCTACTATACACAATGTTACAGTGAATATCATTTCATACATGTCAGAACATATGCATGTATAGACATACTTATGTATGTATATGTGTGTACATAAAAACTATGTGAACATAAATAAATATAATACACTCATATATTTCTAGGACTTGGATTTCTAGGTCAAAAAATATACATTTTTAACATTGAAAGCTACTGAAAAATAGTCCTCCATAGACATTTTCCAAGTTACCCACCTGCCACCTACATGTGACAATGCCTATTCTCTACATTCTTTCCAACACAGTATATTGTATCTTAGTTTTACTTTGCACTTCCTTATTACCATAAGTGAGACTGAGGAAATTTTTAGATGTTCAAGAATGTTTTGTATTCATTTTTATATGAAACATGTGTTTGGGGTTGTTGGCTTTTATGTTTTTGACTTGTAGCAGTTATTTATATCTTAAGGGCCTTACTCCTCTGTCTGCATTTTTAGCTTTTATATGGAATATGTTATAGTTTGGATATAAGGTATCCTCCAAAGCTCCTATATTAATGCAGGAGGTGAAACAAATGGATTGTGAGGGCTGTAACCTAATCAGTGTATCCTAGTTTTAATGGACTGACTGGGTGGTAACTGTAGGCAGAGGGGTTATGGTTGAAGGAGTCTGGGGGCTTTTCCTAGAAGGGTGCATCTTTCTTGTGTCCTCTTCCTCTCTCTTCCTCTCTGCTTCCTGACCCCATCATGAATTGAGCAGCTTTCTTCTCTGTTGGATCCTCCCGCCATAATGTGCTGCCTCACCCTGGGCCCAGAGCAATGGATTTGGCCATCTATGGACTGAGATATCTGCCCCAAATAAACTTTACCTTCTCCGAGTTGTTCTCACTTGGTATTTTTGTCAGAGAGGTGCAAATGCTGACTAAACAGCACCCCTCAAAAACATAGCAACTTTGTGCACTAACTTGGTAGAACAATGGCCAGGTTAGTGACAAGCACTCTTTTTCAGAAGAGGATCCTGCCTAAAGAGATAATAGCCATCAGCACTAATTTACCGCTCTCATATCTTCCACTATTCTAGAAAGGTATAATTTCTGGGGAAGAAAAACTTGCTAAGAGAACTCAGTTGTAGTAAATAGCTGACTGACCATTATGTTCTTGAAGGAAGACATCACTGTAGTTACAGAGAAGAAAATCCACTAATGGCAGAGCCTTTATTTTCAAAAAGGATTCTTAGACTAGAGCTCAGCACAGATCAAAAAGAGATAAATTTTGTAGAAAAGAATATCAAAGGGGTAAAGGAATCAAAGTTAATTATCTTGGCATTCAGCGTGAAAAGATTTGTACTCCCTGAATTCCCTCTCCCCCTCCATCTCATGAGCTTCACTGTTTAAAAAGCATCAATGAATCAGGGTCATAGTATCAGCCTGTACACTACAGGAGGCTGTGTCGCTCACCAACCTGCCACTTTCCTTCTACCTCTGGCTCTAAAATATTTTTTCTTGGGCTTTGCTACACTTAGAGCTGCTCTCTTGGCTTCCATTCATCCCAACCTGGTGAATAACACAGTGTTTTATTGTTTCTGCTATATGTGATTCTAAAAATGATTCCATAACTGTCAAAAATATACTTTTTTTTTTCAACAAAATTATCCTCCTTACTAACTAGATGTGCGTGTTTCTTTTAAAGTCTCTTAGTAGAATGACTTTCATGTGGCACTTATGTTTCACTTATTTCTACACATATGTAATATCTACAATGATATGAAATTTTTTGGAAAGCAAGTATAGATTCTACCATTTGTTCTATACAATTGACAATTGGTTCCTATTTGTTAAATTGTATTTTATATGGAAGCTTCTTTTTTAAAAAAATTGACAATTGGTTCATATTTGTTAAATCGTATTTTATACGGAAGCTTCTTCATCCTCTTGATCAATTTAATGACCAAGAAGAAAAATGAATCAATTCCTTTTTTCCTTGGCATGTCCTGGAGGAACTAAGGATCAGGCATAGAAGATAAAAATACAAAGATCAAAAAAGTTATTGTAACATGAGCTTGTTCTAAGCATACTATTAATTTCTATCACTGAAACACAAAAGAGCAAATTACTTTGCATAGTTCAAAGAAATGAGTGATTTTTTTCCCCCTCAGATAATTAACCTTAATCAGAATTAACTCAGAAAAAGAAAGTCAAAACGTACAGTACCTGGAGTTTGGTTTCCTGACTAGAGCCAACTTGCTGACAGAAGACTTCGAAGAAATCAGCTACTCCTTCTTCCACCCACAGCAAAGTCACTGACGTCTGGGTTTTGTTTACTGCAAAGAGTGACTTGGGAGGGGCTGGTTCTGAGGAAAGAACGTTTTTAAATTATTTAATGTAATTTAATGTGTTCCTTCTTATTTTACTAACAAGAAGGTAAATATTTTTTTTGTTTTGTTTTTAAAAATCCATATACAGGCAGTTAAGAGCCCATAAACATTTTACATTGCTTTTGAAATACTCGGAAGGCAAGAGGTTTTGCCTCTTCCCTCCCTCCCATTTTATAGTTCTCTTTTTGGAGCACTTCTGTTTTCTACTTCAGCTTTATTATAGCCCTAATCTAGTAATATTCTTTTTTTGACATCTGTCCTGGAGTTAGCACTGTCCTTATAATACAAAACTTTCTGGAAGAGATACAAAAATATGTACTTAACAAAGGCTGGGAAAATGAAAGTGCTGTGCTCCCTTCTAAAGAAAAGGTTCAGTTTGGTACTCAGCCAACAACCTGCCTTCCTTTCCCTGGAGGAAAGGGAGTTTAAAATACTTCAGTTAGAGGAAGGACTCGTGAAAATTTAGTCAAAATTAGGAAGGATTAAGCTAAACAGAAAATATGATTTTTTTTTTAAGAGAAAAGGATTGATGGAAGGTGACTTGGATGATTCATACAATGTTAGGGATAAATTTTTTATCTTAGGAATTTTGTCTTAATCAGTTACCCCACTAGTCAAGGAAGCTGTGATTCCCTCATACTCATTCTCAGTATTTGAGGCACTGGCTTGGTTGCCTGAGGACCCTGCCTGTTCCTCATTTCTAATAAGTGCTCTGCTGTCTTGTCCCCCATTACTAAATCTCTCCTGGTCTTCTGCCTGTGACCTGTCCTTTAGATGATGCTTTTTCCTCTAGTTCCTCCAGTAGGTAAAGTGCTGAGCCTGAATAAATATCCAGGTATGAAGCAGGGGTCCCTGTTCCCTGCTGTCAGAACCCCTTGACATTACTTGCTTGGACATGGTGTATCTTAATGCCAGGTTCACGTAGCCATATACTCTGCCCACCTGTATGTCCTTTTCAGATAACTAACCACTTTTGTAAGTGGTCCACTGCTTGTTATTCGATTTTGTTTCACTTCCTACCCCACTCTCCCAAGATTGGTCCCCAGTGCTTGGATTTTAGCAGTGTTTAAAAAAAGTCCTGTAAAGCTGTTCACCTCTTTGACAAGTATATATCTTTTGTGGGAAGATTTGGAGTTTCTTTCTAGAATATTATCATGGTAGCCCTGACCAGAAACAAGAAGTATGTCAAAGTCAGTTTTGATTTGATTTATTGCAGGTAACTTCAACTTGAGTCTAACTAAACAGAAGCATATTTCTTTCCAGAGGCAACTTGACAAGGTTAGGCAGGAGAGCTGAAGGAAGAAAGAGATGAGTTAGTCTCTGGCAAGCAAAATTCGCAATTGATGTCAGGATCCCTTTTTCATTTGCAATGAATTATCCACTCTCCAGACATTGCATTGTCTCACTTCTCTTCTGGCAAAGAAAAACTAATGAAACTGAGAGTTTCTGATGAAACTCAGAGGTCAATTTCCACCCCACATCCTTCAAAATTGTCATGGCTAGTAGGATCCTGAATAAGAGAACAAGTCCTACAGAAGTTCTGACTCATGTAGAACGTGATCTTTGGCAGCAAGTGTAAGGTTCTTAGGGAAGAGTTGGATAATTTGTTAAGCTGATGCTGGATTTCTCTTTTCTTTTTTAAAAATGTGCACTACAGAATTGCTCCTCAGAGTGAATCTCTGAGACTATACTCAGAATCCCTAGGGTATCTATATTTCACTTCTTGGTAGATAGATAAAATCAGTTTAGCTATCCAATATGAACACTGCCCAAATCCTAGTCTCTGAATCCAACTTTTTATGCCTGCATACTCAATCAATCATCTGTGCCTACTTTGATATCTCACTATTACCTCAAACTCCTAATGGTAAAACTGAATCTGGCAGCCTCCCCTTCTCATAAATCAATTCTATCTTCCACGACTCCTGATTCTCTTATGAACACAGACATTCTTTCAGTTGTCTAAGTGAAAAATGTTGAGGCTTCCCTCTTACTTCTCAGTCCCAGAGAGCATGTCTGCTAATGATTCTTGTCATATCTTCTGTTGTCTATTTTTAAAAATATATTTGCACGTCCAGGCTCTTGTCATCACAGGCATTGATTGTTACAGAGTCCTTTCCCCCTCCTCCCTACTGCTAATCTGTTCTTTCTTCCTTTTGTCAGTGATAGCTAAAAGCAGCTTATGATGCCGCTGGCTCAGGTTAATCCTGTCTGTGCATGTCTACAATGTCATATCTAAATGCACCACATTTTAAAGATTTACTTAAATTGGTTGCATGTCACCTAGCCATTAGTTTTATCACCAAACTACCCCACAAGTGCTGCCCCCTGTTAAAGTTACTCTTCTCATTGAACTTGACATGAGCAATGTTCTTGCTCTCACATGATTTCTCTTTATTCTCTTTATTCAGCTCATTCTGAGGTCAAGAAAAAGTCTTAGCTTCTCCCCAAAGGCTTTCTGATGACTTTGTCTCTTGACGACTTATCCCTTCAGGGATTTTCTGTGGGCTTAATTATCAACCATTTGATCTGAGTGAAGTCCCAATCCTACTAGATCCTAATAGATTATTCATGTTTTATAAATTAATCTGTCTTCATCTTGAACTAGCCATCTGTAGGTACTCAATGTATCTTATTTATTGACCAATTTAAAACACGAGCCAGCATGTATTTACTAGAAAATTCAGGATTCCAGCATAAGTAACTCAGATATACTGTGGTTGAATTTTTATGTTCTCTACCTTTTCTTATGCTGATCATCTTGATAAAATATTCATATTTCAGTTGTGGAGTCAAGGACTATTGTGAATTATAAAAAGAACTCTCCGTGGTCTAAGGCAGAGGGCATAGTTACGAGAGTAGGGATTTCTTTTAATTTGACTGAGAATGTGAGTCCAGGTGATCAATAGAGAATCCTAATAAGAATGGAGATCCTTAGGAAAATCTCCAAATGATCTGGGACTTCTAACAGCCAGGTGGCAAATTTTTCATTTCAGGCAAAATATGGAGACAAGCGATTATTCCAAGTCATGGCACCTATCATCACTGTATTCTTTCCCCAACTACATTGACATGTGAGCTCTGTAGGTCAACGAGTAACATATCCAAGTCATTGGCTTGTGCACTATTTACTATCTTTGTGATAGGTGTATTCTTTAAATTAACCAGGCAGAAATTTAACTCTGGTATCCTAAAGGAAATAAAGTTATTACAGAATTCATTAGTGAGGGTATAATATGATTAAATTTGACTATTTGAGACAATATTTTTCCCAGAGAGTGTATTAAAATGCAAAATCTGTGTTGTACAACATAGCCATTAGCCATGCATAGAGACTGAGCACTTGAAATCTGGCCAGTCAAAAATAAAAGGTGCTGGGCTGGGGATTTGGCTCAAGTGGTAGCATGCTTGCCTGGCATGCCTGGGGTGCTGGGTTCGATCCTCAACACCACATAAAAATAAAAAATAAAATAAAGATGTATGTTCACCAAAAACTAAAAAATAAATATTAAAAAAAATTCTCTCTCAAAAAAAAATAATCTGCATTTGGAGTTAAATTGGGAGTTCATAACCCACTTCAATCTAATGTATAAAATATGATATGTTAAGAGCTTTGTAATGTTGTGAACGACCAATAAAAAACTTAAAAATAAATAAATAAATAAATAAAAATACAAGATGTTATTAATGTGAAGTACAAATTGGATTTTGAAGTTTAAGTATGAAAAAAGAAAATTGATTCTTTATATTGATGCTACTTTGTGTAGTCTTGGTTAAATAGAATATATTGAATTCAATTCACTTGTGTGTACTAGAAAATTAAAAATTACATAGGAGACTCTCATCATATTCCAATTGGACAGTACTGGGTTAGAGTGTTCCTTCCTATTTGCTAGAGCAGATGTCTGGAAATTCTTGGCAGAAGCTGCTTGGAGGACCCCTCTTTGTTGTTCATCTCTTCCCATGAAAAGACAATGTTGGCTTAGGCCCACAGCCTTGATGGTTTATGGGATTCAAGTTCTCCATTCTCAGGCACAGGACTAAAAGGAGTTAATGTTTAAACTTGTCAGGCAACTGTACATGATAAGGGGTAGAGTGACATGCAGAAACTTTTGGACTGGTCTCTATCTGCATCATGGGAGGAACTGAATATCCCCAAACTTCATAGGTTGAAACCTCACAATGTAACTGTATTTGGAGACAGGGCCTTTCAAGAGGTTAATAAGTTAAAATGAAGCCATTAGGTTGGGCCTAATCCAATTTGACTAATGTCCTTATGAGAAGAGGAAATTTGGTCAAACAGATGCCAGGATGCATGCATACAAAGAAAAGAACACGTGAGGACAGGCCAAGGAGAGATACCTTAAGAGAAAATGAATTTGCTAACAACTTGATCTTGGAATTTCAGCCTCCATAACTGTGAGTAAATCCACAGTTATCAAATGAACAAGTGAAGTGAATTTAATATATTTTATTTAACCAAAACCATACAAAGTAAGCATCAATATAAAGAATCATTAATATTTTTTTTTATGCTTAAACTTCAAAATCCAATTTGTACTTCACATTCCCAGCACCTTTTATTTTTGACTGGCCAGATTTCAAGTGCATGGCTAATGGCTGTGTTGTAAAACACAGATTTTGCATTTCTGCTTTTTTTATTATTATTAGTTATACATGACAGTACAATGATCTTGACAATTCATACATTTGAATCAAATGGGGTATAATTTCTTATTTTTCTGATTGTACAGGTTGCAGAATCACATTGGTCATACAGTCTGTGGTACTTTAATTATGGCAGTCTTAGCCACCCAATATAGTTTCTTATTATAAAAAATATTAAATACATTCTGTCTCATAAAACAGAAGTATAAAAAGACCCCAACAATACTATGAAGAGCAAATGAGATGTATGGCATTGTACACACATTTTATATAGGGTCAGGTAGATATTAGAGACCATCTCCTGGTTA